CGACGCACGAGACTGTCAAGTTTTTCCCAGAACATGTGTTTGCTCTCGGTGGTGGCCACGTCTGTTGGGGCATACGCAGCCACGAAGGTCACCGCTCCGCGGTGGCCCATCATCTCAAACCTCATAGCCATGAGGCGCTCGTCCACGTACTCCGTGGTGTACTGGGAGGATTTGCACAGCGTCTCCTCCACAGCGATTCCGACGCCATGCGTACCACCCTTGTCCGTGCCACAGGTGAACACCCGAAAACCGGATGCTGCGAACTCCGTTCGCCCTGGTCTCCTGACCTCCTGCAGACCGACAAACGAAATGCCCTGTTTCGCTGCCTCGTGTAAGACGCTGTCGGCTCTCCCATAGCCGTTGGCCCCGTTCACGGCCAGTGTACGCACATTGTAGGTTGCTACCCTAACAAGTCGACCCTGCCGCCTCTGCCGGGCGGTGCGTGCTGCATCCCTAATCAGCCTACGCACCTTCCGGCCCCTCCTCCTCTTCTTCCTTCCTTTTTTTATTTGTTTTTTTCTGATTGCCCTGCGGATCCTCGGGTTAATGTAAGAGTTAACCCGGTGCTTGCCTTTCCCAGCGAGGTGTCTTCCTGTCCCGGAGCGGCGTGGCTCTCCAGCTCTGGACCCTTTCCGTCCCCCTGTTGGGTGCTTACCCACACGGTGTGCGATCATCCCGCCACCCTCTCCGTGCTCTCCACCGCTGCCTTGCCCCGGTGTCCAAACCGGGGCATTTGGGTTCAAACCCATCGGCAGCTGTCTCCAAGTTGGCTTATCACGACCTACCTCGATCTCGTGACCGCGGTAACTCCCGACCGCCAAACTCAGGATCCTCTCCTACACGGTGCTAGGGACCGTATATCCGTCGTTGTTGGGTGGTTTTTCGAGGATTAACTGCACTTGCGGGCCTCGGCCTCCCCCGAGGAGGGGAGGAGGGGGGGGAGGCGGAGTTGTGGAGAAGAAGAAAGGGCAACACGACCAAAATGGAGCAGTGTCAGCGGAAAGAAAAAAACAAATGTGGGACGACATCTGAATTATCTTGTCAGGCCACGCGCAAATCCCCTCTGAGGAAGCACCACACCTGTCTCGCGAGTTTGTCGGCTGCGCGCGCGCTGGGACCCGCCGTTCTTGAGACAAGAGCACGCACGGACTGCTCGAGTTGACTGCCTGCCAATTTGGGGTGGGTGCACAAGGGGGCTCCGTGCCTTATACACGCTCCCAAACAAACGCCACTGATGTGACCCCCAAACAAACAAACCGTCGAAGATAAGACAGCCTGGGCCACACTCGTAAGCAGCATGCGTTTGGGTTGTACATCAGACACGTTGAAGCCCGAGGTGTGCTACTTCGCTGTAATGTTGAAATGCACGAAGGAGCTGATCAGCGGCGGAATTTTGCCGTTGTGCATCCTTGTAGCCTCTGCTTCTCCTCGCGTGCAGGCAAACGCAGGTACAGAGTGCACAGCAGCATGCTCCACCCCCTCCCCTATCTCTCCCTCTCTCTCTCACCCTCTCTCTTTTGAGGGCGTTCTCTCTGCCCATCTCCTTTTTTCTCTCAAACTGTCTGCAGATGGGAGAGGACGCGGAGAGCATCAAGCACGAGGGCAGCGAGGGCGCCGAGAGCAGCGGGGACGCTGAGAGCAGCGGGGACGCTGAGAGCACCGAGGACGCCGAGAGCACCGAGGACACCGAGAGCACCGAGGACAGTTCGGTAAGCGACCGAACTCTAGCCTTCTGAGGGTGAAGGCCTACACACCAGCTTTGACGCTAAGTATTCCGCCTCTGACACCCCCGACAAGAGAAGCTGTGACGAAAATGCGTTTTGCCCTTGACTTTGGCCCCGCAACAAGTCGCCAATGAAGCAAAAGAGCGACTGTATCGGTGCCCAATTCGGAAGACAGGAAGTGTTGGGAACACATGACCTTAATTTTTCAAGGAACGTCAGGCTGGAGGTGACGTGAAGTTGTTGACATCCTTTCTTCTGGGTTGTTCGCGTGTGCAATAGATGTGTGGGCAATATTCCAAATTCAACAATTTTCTTTTTTTTCCGAGTTGTCACAAAATGGCGTGAGTTCTGTTTGATTGCTTTATTTGGCAGTACCAACACGTATTTTTCACGAGACTTCCCCGTTGACGTCGTGTTGATGACAGTTAAGGCCAACACTTTTTCCCCGCCAGACTCCCCCGCTGACGCCGTGTTGATAATTGCAGTTGAGGCCAACAGTTGTTCCCACCAGACTTCCCCGCAGACGCCGCATTGGGTACTTCAGCGCCGACGTCGCGTGCGTGAGTAATGTGGGCATTCCCAGACTTGTGTTTTTGAATACCATTTTCACAACCATAAATACTTGCAGGGGCTCCTCACAACCGTAAATATTTTCAGGGACTTAGTCTAGGCTTCAGGGTAGGACTCAACTGTTCAGGGCCCAAAATGGTTGAACCCCGGGTCGGAGTCAACGGCGAGGTCACTGGATCGGGGAACAAATGGTCCCACCCGGAAGAAAAAAAAAGGTCGACCCCGTGGTGGGAGTCAACAGCTGGGTCACCGTCTTGGGAAAAAGTGGTCCCACCCGGAAGAAAAAAAATGGTCGAACCCGTGGTAGAAGTCAACAACGAGGTCACTGCCTTGGAAAAAAATGGCCGAACTCGTGGTAGGAGTCAACAGCGAGGTCACTGGACCGGGAAAAATATGGTCCGACCCGGCAGAAAAAAAATGGTCGAACCCGTGGTAGAAGTCAACAGCGAGGTCACTGGATCGGGAAATAAATGGTCCCACCCGGAAGAAAAAAATGATCGGACCCGTGGTAGGAGACAACAGCGAGGTCACGGTCTTGGAAAAAAAATGGCTGGCTGAACCCGTGGTAGGCGTCAGCGGTTCTGGGCCGAAAACGATCCAATCCGGGAATGGTTCCAGGGTATGCACTTCCCAGACTTGGAATTCTCAAAACCATTTTCACACCAATAAATGTTCCCCGGGTTGAAGTGTTCGCTGGGATGCACTTCCCAGACTTGGATTTTTCAAAACCATTTTCGCAACCAACCATTAATATTTGCAGGGACTTCTTGATTGATGTGTTGGGTGGGATGCACTTCCCAGACTTGGATTTTTCAAAGCCATTTTCGCAACCATTAATATTTGCAGGGACTTCTTGATTGATGTGTTGGGTGGGATGCACTTCCCAGACTTGGATTTTTCAAAGCCATTTTCGCAACCATTAATATTTGCAGGGACTTCTTGATTGATGTGTTGGGTGGGATGCACTTCCAGACTTGGATTTCTCAATACCATTTTCACACCCATAAACAATCGCAGGGACTTCTTGGTTGACACCTTGGCGGCAATAACCACTTTTGCACCATGACTATCGCAGAGACTTTTTAGTACATTGAACAAGTCTCGACTTGAAAAAAATGCAAATAAAAATACAAACGGACCGCGTGATGCTTTCATCGGAAGCGTATCTGCCCCGAAAAGTGGTCCATAAACCATGTGTTTCTATGGTCTCTTTATCTCGAAGAGTCTCGACTTGACCGATAAATGTAAAAAAACACATCACAAAAGCTTGGTAATTTTTGACCCGAAGAATGACCGGGATTCACGCGCTTCTGAGGCAGGTAATGCAAAAGTCTCGACTTGGTCAAGTCGAGACTTTTTTTGTGCGTTCTATCCCGAGCGCGTTCACTACGCGAAAGTCACATGGTTGTCGCCCTTTTTCGAGCACAAGAGTCTCGACTTGAGGCTCCGCGCGCGCTCGAGCGTTGACTCAAATCGACAACTTTTTGTTTTCCAATAGGAAATGTTGTCGGCTGGCCTAAAGCGTGGCCCACACCAAGAGAGGACGAAATGTGTCGTCCATCTTGGGCTTTGGGGTGTTGGGTGTTCGCGAAAGTCATGCAAAATAAGACACGCCGAGGATGAAGTGGTGGGCAAAGTCGTGTCAGTTTTTTTGGTTGGGTGGAGGTCGTGGGCACAATCCCGGTTCACCCCGGTTTTTGCTAACCTTCGAGTACGCAAGGTCGCCTGGCGCTAGGTCATCAACCGCTTCCGCTACGTGCCGCATGTCCGTAATATCCCGTTTGTCCGTCGTTTCAATCAGCATATCAGGGGTGTGGCAACAAAGATGAGCGCGGTGGAGTCGATCAGGGGTTGGCAGCGATGATGAGGGGGAGAACGATGACCGATTGTGCTAACCCGGAAGAATCAATTGGTGGACTCCGTGATCGAGGTAGTAGGGGGAGTCGGTGAAGTCACGCGTGACTCCGGGCGTATGTGGTCGGCACAGTCATCCTTCGAAGTGTGTGCCAACCTGGAAGAGTCGATTTTTGTGGACTCCGTGTACATTTTTGATCGAGGTAATCGGTGAAGTCACTCATGACTCCGGGCTTTCGTGGTTGGCGGAGTCATCTTTCTGATTGTAGGATCCGTGTGTGCCAACCCGGCAGAATCAAATTGGTGGACTCCGTGATTTAAATAGTCGGTGAAGTCTCTCCCGGAGTGGTCGGCGGAGTCATTCCTTAGAGCATAAGATCTGTGTCTCGGCGGTGTCCGTTCGAATATTATTGGCCCGATTGTAGGGTTTGGGATTGGGTCGCAATTCAGGCTCCTCCCAAAGCTTGTTGTCTGCAGTGAAGTTCATTGCCCTAGATTCTGTGATCCGTTGCGGTTGAGCCGCCTCTCTCTTTGTGTAGCTCTAGCGTGCATTACACCTAGGCACCTCTCTTGGGGCTCTAGGTTCCAACGGGGCTACATGGTTCCTCGACATAGCTACAATCAGATAAATACACGGCATACGGTTGGTCACGCAAGTACGTAGAGTTCGGTGTGATCTGTGACGGTCGGTCTTGCAACGATGAGTTGCAACGAGGAATTGTAGCGAGTGGGTCGATTGTTGGTGTTTCGGCGAGATTCGGAGGAAATATGAGCCCCACATCCCCTCCCCTTGGTGGCCAGCGAACGAAATCAAATTCTGCCTGAAGAAGCAGACCATGAAGAAGTCAAATTGACCGGAAAAGGAAACCACTCGTGTTTGAGCGCTTTGAACCATCCGTGCAGATTAATAAAGCTCAGTTCAAACTGTCCATCCACCGAACCAATCCAACATGCCACCTGCCAGGCGGGAGGTGGCAGTCTTCACTTCCCTACCTTATCCTCTTCCCGGCTAGGTACTCTCAAGCTGTTTCAAAAATGTAGCTGGACACATGCCGCTTGCGCCTTTCCCTCTGGCTCACAATCAAAGCACCACCCCTCTCTACCTGAGCGTCTGTATCTTCCTGCGTGTACTTCGAAGTGTACACGGGCAAATCTACGCAGTAAGCACACTTTTCCACCAGCAATCATCGTGGACAGACGCCGAAAATGCATGTATGTACTGTACGCATAATCCGGTGCCCATGCCTGGAAATTCCAAGACAGTGAAGTCCACAGCTTCCACTACCTTCGGAGTTTCGCGAACTTAAACGGTACCATTCCTCCTCACCACCCGAACGCCGAAATATGCAACAGCATTGTTGGCAGATAAGTTGGTCGGTTTGTTGAGCTGTAGACAAGAACAAAACTGGTGTTTATTGAAACCGTCGAATTCCGTGATTCATTTGTGGGGTACATGTAGGAATAGTACATGTAGCACGGAGCCCCCACCCGAACCCCGAAACTTTCAACAGCGTTGTTGGCAGATAGATGCGTCTACATTCAAATTCTCCTACACTCCTGCTGCCGTGTGCATTCTTCGTATCCACAGTTCACTTTCCTTCGCAAACGCCTGAGATCCCACAGCGACCAGACAAATACCCACGACGGTGACGACGCTTAGCGTTACGGCGACTTCGCCAGTGACAGTGCCCGCGTGGAAGGCCCACAGTAAATACATGAACTGCCACGATAGCTCGACCATCGTCGCTACGCGGATGTACTGAACTTTCGAACTCTCAATGTGTTCCCCCAGCGATCGCGCATTTTCCTGCCTAGCCGCGTCTCTGCTTCCTCTACGGCCGCAACAAGAATCCCAGCAATCCTCCATGCAACCGCATAGCGATCCGCAACAGTAGGAAACGGTCGCGAGGAAAAACATATTGCAAAATCCTAACCCCAAACCAAAGAACACGATGAATGAAAAGAAGAGAAAGCCATTCAGGGAATCACTACGCGGTCCTTCGCAGCCATGGTACTTCGACAGATAAAAGCACACTTGCGCCACAAAACTCGAAATGATCCCATAAAACAGGCAGGGCATCCCCACAATTAAGTAGAATTCCGTGCGCGATGACTTCATTTCGGTGGGGAGGTTGTGCAAAGTCTTGAGATCGAGTGGCGAATTGTACTTGCATGATAGGATCAGGGAAGACAGCACTTCCTCCCCGAGAGAAAGGACCATCACTGCGATCTTAAAGCCCTTCACCGTTGATGTTGAGGTTGGGCTGTAGTAGCCGGTAGATGGATACTTCGAATAGGTTGACCAGTCGCATTCGTTGATCGAATAGAGGTCGTATCCAACAATCGCCACCTGGATGAGCAGGCCCGTCACGAACTGAATCCATCTCTTGTTCTTCGATGCCTCGCTCTCAGGCACCAAGGCCTCCGCTGTATATGCGAGGATGTGCGGCAAGCATCAGCGTTTCATCCAATTAATTAACATATGCACTGCGCAACACAAAACCTGTCCTTGCCTTAGAGGGAGCGGTTACGTATGGTGTGATGAGTAAAGCAGAGAGCTTAGCCCACGATGGTATACGGTACATAATATGTGAGTTCAAGTCCAAGCCCTGCTGTGCTGCTACAAATACAATGAATGTCTCTTTACTCGTACACGTTCTAGCGTGCATGAAACAGTCATGATGTGATGCCAAATAACGTGGTGGACTCTACGAGAGACTTTCAGCTATGGTGAGGGCAATCTCCGAAACTAACAATCTTGTGGGGATGGTCGGAGCTCTGCTCGCATGCCGAATCCCGTGCCCTTGAAGGTGCGCTCGCAAAGGAAAGCCTTACTCAGCGTCGGGCACCTCTAAATAATGAAAAAATTTGAAAGTTGACACGCAGATGAAACCGATTTGGAAACGGGGTGGATTGGCGCGCTTCGCTCTCGGCCTACCAACAATCCACCGCATACTTCTAACATTGAACTACTGCTGAAAAGGCAACGCAAGTGTTTCTGTGTTGTTTCGCACGAAATCTCGGTCGTACAATCCTTTTCATTTTCCACCGTTCGTTCAGGACAGCTGAGCTCCGGTCGCTGCAGAGGAATGGCAAAAGCCATAGGGAAACGAGACAACATCCAAATTCTTGGGACTATTAGAACCAACGCTTGGCCCCGGCCAGGAAATACTACAGAACCCGAAAAATAAAAAAAGCTCTTTCGTTCACCTCCTGGAAGCTCAGCCCCGTCAGTGTTGGGGCCCATGCCGCGGCTCCCGCGTTGTTCGACTCGTTCCATTATTTCCAATCGTTCTCCTCAAGCAGGAGAGCAGCCCACGTGTGGCAACCTGCCCCGAAGTTCGTAGGAGGGCTTTAGCTTTTGCTGGGACCACATGGATGGTTCGAACCAGCGCGCACTACATGGAGTTCGCCCACAATACTCATGGTGATTGTGTGTAGTGAGAAAAAGAACTTGCGTTTTCAGCTGTACTCCGGAGAGTCCATATTTCAGTGCGGGTGCGTGCGAACGTGTGTGGTTGTAAGACATGTGTAGAAGAGAGGGCGGGGGCGAGAACGATGATAAAAACAGCATCCGGACCGTACGGTTGAGTGGCACTGCGGGAGAGAAGGAGAGAAGGAGGGGTACCCGAATGTCACACGAGAAACATAAACGGTACAGCAGTGCGCACTACTAGTCCGAGGGATGTCGTCTACATATTTAGCAAGTCAAGGTGCTTGTGACCGATATGGAGAGAGCGGCGGAACATTTTGCCCCAACGAACCAATTCTTCCGCGCCATTACCCCCAGGGGAGAGCGGCGTGCTTGCACCTCAGGTGCGGCTGATGCGCTGGTTCTCTACTGCTGTATGCAGCCTTATTGGTTCGGCGGTTCGCACGTTGAAAGCAAGGCGTAGTCCAGTCTTACGTAGATTCCGTACAGCGGCAAGTCTACATTCAGGAGAGGGCTCGGTGTGGAGGCCATACCCTTCGAAGGTACCTTACCTCCCTACGCCTGTCGAGGTATAAACCACCTTTTCCACAATGACGTCGACGAAGAGATCTGTGACGTTAAGCGGCGTCGGGCTAGGCTAATACTACGGTGGGGGACCGTAGCCCAGCCACTACCCAGCCGTGTGTAATATTCAGATTCTAATAATAACTGCTGATCAGTCGTGAGGCGTGGCACGCACAGATTATGACTGGAAAAATAGAGTTTGACTCGCCGCCAGCCGGTCGGGTTCCGGTTACCCTTGGAAGGCTTCTTGTCTAGCAAACAAGAAGCCTCAATAAAGGGGGGGGTGATGTGGAGGCCATACCCTTAGAGAAGGGTACCTTACCTCCCTACACCAGTCGAGGTACAAACCACCTTTTCCACATCGGCGGGCATTTATTTCTTCCCGAATAAATTCAGGTACATAGATAAGTTACTCTGTAGTCTCGTTGCAACTGCCGCAAAAGTCTACTCCCGCGGATCCCCACGACGAGCTTTAGGGTTAGCTGAACATCTGTACAGTAAACCCTCTGCCGCTGTTGTGGTGGTGGTTTGCGTGGGACGCTCCACATGCGAATGGAAGCGGGAGCTTGAAGTAACTTCTGATGGTGTTGGTTGCAGCGGACAAACAAAACACATATGAAAAAAATGACGGAGGTGTGAGTCACTGGTCTGTCTGCCATATAGGTTCCACTTGAGGCCCTCTGTCCTCTGTCTAACTGTTCCTCCGCTGGTTCTGCGGATCTTTCCGTGCGGTCCGCATGCGCATGTATGTCACTGTATGCGCATGACCGGCTACCGCACATACTACACCCGCCCGGACATAACTGCCCGGCATATGGTCTTGTCCTCTCACGCCCGGGGAGATAAAGCCCCGGCCGTACCGATGCTGTGCGCGTCATCACGCCAGCGCAGACTGCGCCACGTCAGGCTGGTTCTGCGTCGACAGGGCTGAGGATCGGTGCGCTGTGCACACCTCGCCTCCCCCCTCGTCTCTCACTCTTTTCCCTTTCCCTCTCTTCCCAGAGACCACCACTGGCTCTTCCTAGAGAAACTACTCTGTCCCGCTGTCTGTCACCAGCGGTCCCCACCGATCGCTCCGGAAGTCTCCTCTGTCCCTACAGTTGAGAGAAGGTTCAACCCCTTCCATCGGTCCGAGGTAGCTCACACCCTTATTGGGAACCCTT